CGCCGGAGGCGTCCTCGTCGGGCAGTAGCATGCTTTGCGCGCGAGGAGAACGCCAGCGGGAGCCCCGCCCTGTTCCTAAACCGGTGGTGGCGGTGAGATTGCCGTACTGCGCTGCGGTTGAGTCCAACGGACGGCAAAACTCCCGGGACGTCGAGCCAGTCGTGCATGCGGCGGCGCCGCTGCCGCCAGCTCCTGCTAGGGCTTCTTCCGGCAGGGACTGGTTGCTGGCGCGCAGGCGTGGTATTTGCATAGACGATAATCCACCTGGCATGGCGTCGCCGCCACCGCCGCCACCGCCGCCGCCGACTGGCTCTGCCGAGCCGTCAAAGACACCCAACGACGGTAGCGACGGCAGCTGTGGCGTGCTACAGCGCTGCATTGCGGCGCGAAAGGTGGAAACCGCGGCACTGCCGGCAGTCGCTGCAGCAGCAGTAGCGCCGACAAGGGTCCGATGCGGCGTGCTTGGAGCTGTGCCCGGCAGCGGTACGACGCCGACAGCGGCGGCTCCGCTACCGCCGCCGCCGCTGACACCGGTGCTCATGGCCGACGAGTAGCTGGATCGTGCTGCGCCGCCTCGGGGCGTGAGTCCCGGGACGGAAGCAGCGGACGGCGGCAAGGAGCTTGTATTGGGTGGGGTAACCAGGGACTCTGCCGTACCAAGCCGGCTGTAGACCATGGAGTTCGTAGTAGGCGCGATTACTGGCAGCGGCGGCGGTGGCGAGGGCTGCAATGACAGAGGAAACAGCTGGTTTTGTTGGTGATGGTGATGTCGGTGTTGGCGCTGAGGAAAAGATGGCTGCTGGTTAGGGAGAGAATGCACAACACCGACGTGACTTGGGCTGCTGTTGCCACCGCCGCCGCCGCCGCCGTACTGCAAATGGCTGCCAGTGGACGAGCGGCGCGATGTGCCAATAGTGAGGCCCGCGCCGCCGCTGCCTCCGCCTCCGCTCGCGCCACCCCCGCCGCTACTGGCTACATCCGTCGTGGCAGCGGCGGTGGCGGTGGCGGCGGCGGCAGCGGTGGAATGATACGGGAGCACGGGCGGCATCACTGGGCCGACAGGATCAAGGAAGGCGGGCTGGTAATGGGGTGAGGCTCTGTGCAGCGCTGCAGGGCTCCTGCCGCCGCTGCAGGGGCCCCCAGCGGCGACGGCGTACTGCCAAGGGCCCTGTGTCGCCGCAACGGGCGCCGACCCCGCCAGCAACGCGTTGGCGGTGACGGCAGTGGTCGTGGACCGCACCGGAGTACGGAGGGCCTCCGAAACCGCAGCATATGACGTGCCTGAGACGGAAGTGCTCATGGAGGCACAAGATTGCGCGCCGCCGCTGCCGCTGCCACCACCATCGCCGCCGCCGCTGCCGCCACCTCCGCCGCCGCCGCCGCTGCCGCTAAACAAGGGCAGCTGATGTCCAGGCGCGCTTCGCCGCAACACCCCGGAGCCGCGGCGGCCGCCGCCTCCGCCGCCGCCGCCGCTGACAATCACGCCATAGCCGCCTTCGGAGCGCATCAGCGAGCTAACTACCGCCGTACGGGATGACGGCCCGGCTGCCGCCGCCACCGTCCCTCCTGCAGCCGCTCCTCCGCGGTCAGACGTCGGCGGCGGATTGCGCAGCAGTTCAAAGCCGTTATGGGATGGCGGCGCCACCAGTGCTGCCCATTGATCCACGCTGTACGACGACAGCGAGCCGGGTGCGTCGGAAGCTGCACGCGGCGGTCGCTGTGACACAACCCGCAAGGCGCCGTTCCCAGGCGAACCCAGCGCACCCATGAAGAAGGGCCCAGCGGCGGCGGCGGCGGCGGTGCGTGACTCGCCGCAAGGGATGTGGCGACGGCCCCGGGAGCTCGTACTCTTGCGCAGCTGGCGGGATGGGGAGCTGGCGGCGGCAGCAACGGCCTGCTGAGTGCCGCTATAGCTGCTGAAGCCGCTACCAAATTGGAATTGGCTGATGGCGGCCTCCGCTGCGGCGCGGAGAGATACGGCGATGGCGCCGGAGGAGGCGCGGCGGCGTCCCGCCGCCGCCACCGGCGGCGGCACCAGAACGGCTCCGCCGCTACGCCTGCTGGTGCGGAGGCCGCTGACGCCGCCGCCGTTGCCGAATGGTTCAGGGTTGCTCGCAGAGGCTGCGTGCACCGCCGCCGCCACCGTCCAGTTGTTCTCAGCTGTCGGGCCCAGGAAGCGCGGAGCAACACCAGCCAATGGACCGAGTACAGTCCTGCTGCCATTCACTGCAGCCGGCGGCGGCTGCATCGTATGTGACGCATGCCGCGGCGGCGTGCCGCCGCTGGGCTGGCTGCTTGCAAGCGGCGCCGCGTCCTCATTTGCCGTACTACGCCCATAGCAGTACACATCGCTGGCGGCGGGGCTTCCCCCGCTGAGGACTGTGTTCGGGTGCGGTCCGCCGCGGCTGTTGCGACTCATGCGGCGTAGGGGACCGCCGTGGCCGCCCGCGCTGCGCGCCGCTGGCACAACGGGGACCTGCAGCGGCTGGGAGCTGCTGCCGCCACCGCCACCGCCACCGCCACCGCCACCGCCACCGCCGCCGCCGCCGCCGCCGCTGCTGCCGCCGCTGCCGCCAGTGGTTCCCTGGGTAAACTGCAAATGCGGTCCGTCAGATAACCGGCTAATTGCGCCCGTCGTCGTTGGGCCGTTGCTGCCGTTGGCCTCGTTGAGGACGTGAGACGGCGACGGCAGCGCCAAGAAGGGTGGCAATCCCAGTATCAAGGCTCCACTGACATCTCCGCCGGCGCCGCTACTGCGCATGGGCGGCCCAGACTGCTGTTGCTGCTGTTGCTGCTGCTGTGGCGGCGGTGGCGGCGCTGGCTGTAGCAGGGGCCCGGGGGCTTGATGAAATGGCTGCTTGAGTGGCGGCGGTAGTGGTGGCGACGGCGGCGGCGGTAGCGGCAGCCTGAAGCCGGCGGCGGTGCGTGACGTGTCGTTTGTCGCGATGAGTTCCGCTGCCTCCGCCGCCTCCGCTTCCGACGGCGCGTCCTCATCCTCCCGACCTTCCTGGTCGTCTTCCGCTATCGGCAGCTCCCCCGTCATGGAGCGGTACGACATGTAAATAGGATTGCCGTGCAGGGTGGCGAAGCCACGGCTGAGCATGGCAGGCCCTGAGCTTGACCTGCCGCTGTTGCTCCTCGCCAGCAGAGATTGCGGCAGGCTAATCAAGTCCAGCTCAACAGGCATGGCGTGGCTATTGGCGCCGCCATCGGCGTCGCCGCCGCCGCCGCCGCCGCCGCCGCCGCCAATAGGACTCGCCCCCATGGGCCGTTGCAGGTTCGTCGCAAAGCTGGGCATTATCGCCTCCGATTCCACAAACGCGCTCGAAGCGCCGGTAGAGCTAGCCCTGTCGTACATGCGCCTTGCGAAGGACGAGCTGCCGGTGGACAAGGACGGCGACTGCAGCAACGGATGGAGCGGCGGCCCTGGCGGCGGTGAGGTGCGTTCTGAATAGGTCTGGCGGCGGGGCAGTACGGCAATCAAAGGGAGAGCTTGAGAGGACGGAGAAGAGGGTGCTGATGTACGTGACGTCAGGGATGTACGAGAGGATGGTGTACGGCCGACGGTGCAGGGGCCGCCGCCCCCGGCAGCAATATCAGCAGCAGCAGCAGCAGCAGCGCCAGCGGCTGCGGATGAAGCCGCCCCAATAAAACTCCCTTCACTCGATTTAGGATCCTCTATGGATGCCATTTCTGCCTGAGGTAACGGGGCAGCCGATCCGCTGCTGGCCGCGGCCATGGCCCATGTTACCCCCAGGCTGCCGCCGCCAGGAGTAACGTCCACTGCCGCCGCCGCCGTCGCCACGGCACAACCAACAGCAGCAGCAGTAGCAGCATCGCCATCAACTCCACTGCTGCCGCCACCGCCACCGCCACCGCCACCGGCACCGCCGCCGCCGTCTTCATCAGGTCCCACGGGGCCCAGCAAATGAGCAAGAGGTGCGGAGGGTACTTGGCTGGTGCTGCTGCCGGCAACGGCTGTCGTGACGTCGGCGGTTGTAGCAGCGGCAGCGCCATCGCCATGCAGCGCTACTGCCCCCTGTGACCTGTTTTGGCTGGAAAAAGGCTCTGCGCTGACGGCTGCACCCGCGGGACTAGCTGACGGGCAGCCAACGGCAATGCCGCCGTCGCCGCCGCCACCGCCGCCGTCGCCGTCGCTGTCGCCGACGACGACGAGAGGGTCATGCTGCACCCTCCACTCATTTGCAACGCCCGCCATCGAGGCATCGCCGCCGCCGGTGCCGCCGCTGTTGTTGTACGAGAGCGATATCAGGCCACCCTCTTGCTGCCGCCACTCAGGCGATTGGTTGGCCAACGGCAACGGTATCGCCGCCGCCGCCGCCGCCGCGTTGAACGAATCCTGTGCGACGTTGACGCAACGTAACATTCCAGAATCCAGGTCCAGCATTGAGCCCGGCGACGGCGTCGGCGCCTCCGCCACGGACGCCAGCAAACTGCCACCTCCGCCATGGCTTCGGGGCGGTGCGGCGTTGGCAGACCTGCGACCCCAGCTCACCGACCCCACAGCTGCCAGACCACGAGGATGATCCAAGCTTACCCGGTACGGCACCTCCAACTGCGGCGGCGGCGGCGGCGGTGTCGGAAGGTTATGCCTTGTCGCAGGCGCGTGCCGCGCGTAGCGTGGTGATGACGCATCGTACATGCTTCTCGGCGAGGACGCGGGCGCCGTCCCCGGCGGCAGGTAATCCGGACTGCCACTAGGCGTCTGCAGCCCCTGCATGGACCCGCTTCCTCCTCCTTGCACTTGCGATTCGGAGTTGTGCATCGGCAGAGAGCTAGTGCCGCTCAAGTGCAGCTGGTGCTGGTGCTGGTGCTGGCGCGCGTTCTGCGGGTGTTGGAGGGCCTGGGCGTGGTGGGGGGGATGGTGATGGTTGAGGTTCCTTGGTGTGGTGTTGGCGTTGGTGGTTAGGAGCCGCTGGTGTCGGGGCTCGGAGGGCCCTACGGCCGCTGTGCACAAGCGCTGCTGGAGGGAGAGGTATCGGAGCTGCTGGCGGCTGCCCAAGGCCTGCTGCTGCGGGGGGCCCCCCGTTACCGTCGCCGCCAAGCCAACGGCGGCCCAGCCCAGAGGGACTCGCCCGCTGCCGCCGCCGCCGCCACCACCGCCGCCGCCGCTGTGGCTTCGGCGCTGCAGCACCGTTGCCGAGGCGTCAAAGCCTGGTAGCTGCAGTACAGCAGCTCCGGAACCGTCCAGCGTCGGTGAGACGTGCGACGCCACCGCAAGGCCCAGCGGGCTTGAACCCATTCGCCGTACGGCAAGCGCCTTACTACTCGTCACGGATCGCGGGCTGGCAATTGCCGTACTGATGGATGGCGAGTCCAGCGAGTCCAGATGCATGCCAGTGGCACCGGCGAAGTACGGCCCTTGGGGCGCAGCGCCGTTGGAGCTGATGCCGCCGCCGCTGCCGCCAGCCACGCCGCCGACGCCGCCGCTGCAGCTGCCGCCGCTGCATGTGCTGTGCGGCGATCCAGGCAGCAGCCTTGCTCGCCTGGCAAAGCTGGTGGGGCTGATGTGGATGGAGATGGACCTCCCGGGGGTGTGCCATCCCGGCGTCTGGCCGCCTCCGCCGCCGCCACGGGAGCTACCCCCCAGAGAGGTGTCCAGCATGCTGCCGCCGCCGCCGCCGCCGCGGGAGCTGCCACCAGCAGCCAGCAGGCCGCGCGACGACGGCGACGGCGACGGCCCCACAGGCCCACGCGCCGCGAGCTGCAGCATGCTCTCTACAATTTCACCCACGGACGCCCGCCGTCGCCGCCGTACACGCAACGCTGCGGCCTGGCGCGCCGCCGGGTCCCATCCTGCCGGCTGCAACTCCAATCCCGCCGCCGCCAGGCCATACGCTGATAGATCGCCGCCGCCGCCGCCAGTGCTGTTGCCGCCGGCCATAGAGCCATGCTGACTGGCCCCTGGGCTCGTGCGGGTATGTAAGGCGGAATGTATCCAGGAGGGGGTTGAAGCTCCAGGAGCCACGGCGGCGGCGGAACCGCCGCAGCCGCTGCTTCCGCCGGCGGCAGCAGCGGCCGAGCCGCCGACGGCGCTTTGCCAGACACTCACACTGCCGAAGCGCAACGCATTCGTACTGACGCTTGCTGAGGGCGAGCTCCGAGCTACATGACGGGCGCCGCCCATGCCGAAAATCGCCCCGAGTGGGCTGCGCGGACTGCCCGCCACACGCCACGGTCCGCCGCCGCCGCCGCCGCCGCTGCCACCGCCGCCGCTGGCAGCCGTACCAGCGGCAGATGGGTTCCGGAAGGAGCTGCTGCGAACTCGATGAGCAGGCGCCGGCAGGCTGACAGTCTCAGGAAGCCAAGGCGCCAAGGCACCCCCCGAACTCAACATAATCGACGGTGAGGAGAACGTAGGCGCCACCGGCGCCGGATGCAGACAAGCGCCGCCGCCGCCACCGCTGCCGCCGCCCTGGCGGGGACTGACGCTGACGCTGACGCTGACGCCGGAGCTGGCGTCCACAGCGCGCCTGTCACCGCCGCCGCCGCCGCCTCTGCCTCCGCCGCCAGACAGCATGACGGCCGTCAGCCCGGTGAGACCTAACCGGCTAACCCGGGGAATACGCGGCTCACTGCGGGCGCTGCGATGCACCTTGGGGTCCACTAACAATCGCTCCAGGGAGCGCGCCAGGCTGAGGGTACTAGAGGATGCTGTTGCGGGGCCCAGGCTGCCGCCAATGGCACCGAAACCATGGCTGTTAAAGGCTCCAGCGGTCAGGGCGGCGGCGCCGCCGCCGCCGCCGCCGCCAGCCCCTGGCGCTGTCACAAGATTGGCGCTGTTAGCCCTGCTCATTGGGTACTGCGTGGAGATGAGCAAGGGGTTAACGGTGTTGGAGGCAGTGGTGCTGTTGGTGGCGTCCTTAAACGCGCCGCTGCATCTGATTCGACTGAGGATGTGACTGCCTGGGCTGCTGAAAGGATTTGGCGGCACGGCCTCGCCGGCGATTCCCGGGGAGGATCCGGCGCCGCCGCTACCTCCGGTGCCGCCGCCTCCGGCGGCTACGGCGTCGTACCCGGCTATCGCAACGTTGGTTTCGGTTCCGGCGGCTACGTCGTTCGCCGTCGCAGCGGCGGCAGCGGGGAAGGTAGCAGAGATGGCCTTGGTGGCGGCGCCGTCACCGCCGCCGCCAGCGGAGCCTCCAGCGGTGACGCCGGCTGCTGCTCCTGTTCCGGTTCGTACAGCCAGGTGTTGCATGGACAGCTCCGGAAGGGCGCTGATGGAGGGGTTGGAGCTGGCCGCCACAGAGCTCGTGTGACGGAGGCGGCGACTGCTCCAGGTAGAGGCAACAGCATGCGGCCGCCAACGCAGAGGAGGGATCACCGCAGGCCGGGGAAGGGCCAGGGTCACGACGGGGGGCCAGGGGCCAGGGGCCGCGACAGGGGCGCACAGACGTGATTGATTATGCAAGGCGGGAAGGAAAATGTGGCGCAGGAAAACGTGGCGCAGGAAGCGGCAAGGCGGCTGGTGATGGGTAAGCGGGAAAACGGCATGAGATGCTGCTGGAGGAGTAACTGGAGGAGTAACTGGCGGGGAGTAACGTGTCGCCCAAGACACCGGCAAAAGGAAATGACGTCAGCCAGGCTCACGGCTCGCGGCTCAAGGATGGGAGGGAGGGAAGGAGGGGGGTTAGGACTGTTGTGGCGAGGCGAGGAGTGCGCCACCGACAGATCAGGCAACCCATTTGGATCTGGTGCAATACCGGCGTCCTTCTTCGAGGACGGGAGGGGGGTCGGAAGAATCACATGCAGGACATCATACCTCAACCTCAACCTCAACCTCACCCACACGCCCCACGCATCTCAGCATTCCCCCGGCTTCCCTACCCATATCTTTCATTGCTGTCTACCATTGCACCACAGGGGCTCTCATATACCTTCTCGGACAGACATACATACCGGCAGACAAACGGACTCGAATGACCTTAAGGCTCTTTGGAAACCGGGCTACTATACTACATGCACATGTACAGACCCACATGCAGGCAAACAGACAGATAGACGGACGGACAGACGGACGAGCGGATATGCATCAAAACATGCATACATACTTACGTGGACTTGGCAGATACGAAGGATCTTGCCAAGCGCATCTCTGCGGGACCTCTAAGACTGCCCTCGTCCGCGACGGAGCCCTCCTCCACAGAAGGGATGGTCGCAAGGCGGGGAACCTCCTGCCGAAGTCGCCACTCCTCAAGCACCTGCAAATTGGGAGCATAACATAGCAGGCCAGGGCAGTGGGCAGGGCAGTGGGCAGGGCAGTGAGCAGAACTGCGAAACTGTGTGCCTGCGTATGCATCTTCTCTTCTACCTACCACCTACAGTGTCGTACAAGGGCCGTCGTACAGGTGATAACGCACGGCCTGTGGTCTGCACTGTAAGATACCGACTGACCGACCCACGGTTCGGTTCTAGGACATATTCGTCATTTCCGCGCGGCGGAGTGTCGACAGGGGGGTTGGGGAGGGCACTTGCAACCCTGGTGTCTGCACAATGTCCCTACGGACCAACTGCTGGGGGCCCGCCGGCGCAACAGCAAGATATGCAAAAAGTAGGGGTTGGGAAAGTGGGGAAATGGGAAATGGAAATGGAGTGCGTTAAGGATCAGCTCACTGTTCGTGGCCACGAGGCCAGGTGGGTATTTCCAAGCAGCAGCGTCCACCGGAGCGTTTAAGTGCAGAATGAGCCAGAGCTGGCGACATGGTGTGTGTGTGTGTGTGTATATGTATGTGAGAGTGAGAGTAACAGTGAGAGAGGGAGAGCGATAGGGAGTGACAGGGAGTGGCAGAAAAGCGCGCTTACCTCTTCCAGAAGATTTTGGTCCAGCACCACCTGGCCCCCCACTGCCGCCGCCATCAGTCGGGAGGTGCGGTTCACCGTCTGTGTGGAATCAACCAATCCAACCAACCAGCAAGTCAGCAAGATACGCCAGACAGACAGACAGACAGACAGACAAGCGAGCAAATGCGCGGAAATCAACCGGCCGGCCAGCCAGCTACCAAGCAAAAGCACATTTCGCACCCCGCGACCACCGGCCGGTCTGACAGGAAAACTCCCAATGCAATCCTCACCCAGACAGACACAAAGGGCACATGGAGGGAATCTAAGCCAGCTATCTAAGCCCAGCTTCAAAAGGTTTTAAAGCCCGGCCAGCAGAGCAGCAAAACAGCCAGCAGCAGGCAAAAGCAAAAGCAGTCAAGCAACCCAACCCAACAGAACAGAAGCAGCGGAGCAAGGAAATGTCCAAGCAAAGCTTCAGTGGACAGACTAGCATCACCCGCGGTGACGAGGCTTTCGGCTGCACGTCTCGGCCACACGCCTTGGGCTCTTGGACACCCCGGTGAGCCCCACCCCACCCCACCCCACCCCACCCCACCCCACCCCACCCCACCCCACCCCACCCCACCCCACCCCACCCCACTCCCACCGGTCCGAAGTAGTCGGCCCTCCCCGTCTTGGCGTCTGGAAGTACCCGGTCAATAGGACCAGCGTAAATGGCAACTCGACAGCGCAATCCCCGGAAGAGCACCCCGCCGTTGTCCGGATTCAGCACCACCGCAGCCGCCTCGCAGGCGAGCAGGTCCTCGGGCCAAGGCATGGCCACCAGGGCCAGCTGCAGGGTCAGGGCCCACTCCACTGCGCCTGTGAATGGGGGGCGGTGTGGGTGGGGTGGGGACGTTTCATGCCATGCAAACGTTCGAGCAGGGAGTGAAAGCGGGGGGGTGAGAGAGCAGGAGACTCCGGGCAACGCGGGAGGGAAGAGAGTTTCGGAACGATGGTAGTGGAAGAGGAGGAGGAGGAGGGGACAGGAGACGACGACAGGTGCATACGGCCGGAAACAAACCGTGCAACCGGCCAATGGAAATGGAGGAGGGGATGTAGATGCAGGGCCATATGCGAGTGGCAAAGCGACGCGGGTGGTTCCTCCTCATGGGGGAAACCCCCCTCTTTAAGGACTTATGATCAGCAAATGAACTTAAGTTTATTAGTGTTTACCAAAACTAGATCCAGGACCTATGTGCGCGGGAAAAAATGTATATTCACATGCTTGCTATACTTAACCCTAAAGGGGTTCCCCTTTAGGGGAAGAACTAAATGCACTATTCAATTTAGCACTGGTTCGGAGCATCGGGACTGTCGATGGTCACAGCCGTGTTTAAAGGGGAGGGCGGCCGGGTCTGTCGCTCGGTCAGCCCGGCAGGGGAGTCCGGCACACACGGCAACACGTCCAGCGGTGTCGCGGGCAAAAGTTTTAATGAAGAAAATCAAAAAATGATGTATTTTCATTTACTCACATGATGTTATACGGGGTTCGCCCTACTCGGCACCCTTTCAAGGCCTTTTGTGGCACAAAATACATCGTGTTCGATCTTTTCGGATCCACCACTGTTCGGATCCACCACTGTTCGGATCCACCACTGTTCGGATCCACCACTGCAGAAACCCCTCCATGTATTCACTCACTCGTGGGCGACGCGAAGGTGGTCATAAAGCTGCCGTTGCATTCCTTGCACTCGTACCCAGAGCAGGTGGACAGCGTCTCCCGCACTGCCGCATTGTGCAGCTGCAGCACATCACGACCCGCATCCACACTCACCGCCGACAGCTCCTGCACCCCCCCCCACACACACAACACACACACGGACAAAAGCCATTGCAAAGGGAAAGGGCATCCAAGCCAAGGAAAAACCCACGCCAACTGAAGCCAAGGGCAAGGCAAAGGCGCAAGTTCTAATTGAACGCTAGGACAAGGCAAGGCAAGGCAAGGCAAGGCAAGGCAAGGCAAGGCAAGGCAAGGCAAGGCAAGGCAAGGCAAGGCAAGGCAAGGCAAGGCAAGGCAAGGCAAGGCAAGGCAAGGCAAGGCAAGGCAAGGCAAGGCAAGGCAAGGCAAGGCAAGGCAAGGCAAGGCAAGGCAAGGCAAGGCAAGGCAAGGCAAGGCAAGGCAAGGCAAGGCAAGGCAAGGCAAGGCAAGGCAAGGCAAGGCAAGGCAAGGCAAGGCAAGGCAAGGCAAGGCAAGGCAAGGCAAGGCAAGGCAAGGCAAGGCAAGGCAAGGCAAGGCAAGGCAAGGCAAGGCAAGGCAAGGCAAGGCAAGGCAAGGCAAGGCAAGGCAAGGCAAGGCAAGGCAAGGCAAGGCAAGGCAAGGCAAGGCAAGGCAAGGCAAGGCAAGGCAAGGCAAGGCAAGGCAAGGCAAGGCAAAACCGTGCTGCGACATGAAACGCATTAGGATGCATGGTTAGGGTTGTGTATGTATGTTCTTGTTGGGGCTGTTTAGGGCGCGTTTTGGATCGATTGAGACAAAATTGTGACAATACAGCAGTAAAGCATATTTACCCCCCACCCTAGCCCCACCCTGCTACCAGACACACATAAGGCCACCAGCTCCTCGCACAACCACTAGCTCCTCACCAACACCCCGCCCACCTTGAAGCCCTCAATAGACGAGAAAGCCACCGTCACCACGGGCCGTGTCGCCAGCAAGTCGCCCCCCATGAGCTCCCTCATGTCCGGAAACAGCAACCGACTCGTCCCGGGCGCGTCGAAAAACCCTGGAGAGATCTTCTCCCACCCCACCGGCAACGCCAGAGGCCAGGGAAACATCAGCACCCTCGCCGCCACGCTCGATGGAATGATCTGCATCAGGTGCACGTAATGGCTGCTACTGCCGCCGCCGCCGCCGCCAGCGGCAGCGCTGTAGTCCAGGGTTGTGAAGTGGTAGTAGCCCATGTCGACCAAGACGCCTTTCGTCTCTTGGGGCTTGGAGCCGCCGCCGGCGCCGCCGCCGCCGAGCACAGTGTCGTCAATGCGACCCCACACGTCCGCATCCACGGGGTCGTCCTCGCTGCTGGTGAGGAGTCGTACACAGATGAGGCAGCGGCGGAGGACGTGGCGAAAGGCGCGCGCGAGCTGCAGCCACAGTTGCTGCAGCCGCAGCGGAAGCTGCCAGCACCTGCAGGAGCTACAGCCGCAGCCGCTGCTGCTGGCGGCGGCGGCGGCAGCGGCAGCGGCGGCTCCGCCGCCATCCGCTTCCCCCGGGGGAGAGCAGCTCTCCTGTCCAAAGTACCCACCAGGCGCGCTCTGTTGGTTGAACGCTGGGCTGTTAGGTTGGTTGTGGAGGTTGCTAGGTGCATGGAGGAGGCGCCCGCTATCGCCGCGGAAGCCCGCGGACGGAGCGCCGCCGCTGCCGCCGCCGCCGCTGCCGGCAGCAGGCGCGGCGGCGGCGGCGCCGCCGCCATCCAAGCTTCTGGCGCGCTGCGTAGCATCCGGTGGCCTCCTGTACACGGAGCCCATCATCAGGCCGCGTGTGATGGCATTCCTGTGGGTGCTGCTCATCGAGTCGCCTGTAGAACAAAGAGGGGCCCCCACACTGCTCTGTGACAAGAAACACACAAACTATCAAAAAAGAGGACAACAACTGCTGTGGGTGCTATGCTACTACTGTTCTGTAAGGGACGCTGCGCAACAACTGATCCAGAACGAAGATAATGATGGGCGTCACGCACTCCCACATATGCAGAAAGCAGAACGGGGGTGGGGGAAACGCCAGAGGGGAGGAAAGATAACTTTTGTTGGTATTATTATCCATCCGATACGACGTAATGACCTGACTTCACTGGACTGGACTTCACTGGACTTCACCACTGCTTTGCCTACAACCCAGCTCACGCCACTAAAGCCTTCACCCTCCTAAAGAACTACTACCACAGAATCGTACAGCAGCAAAGCAACACAGCACACAGCGCAGCACACAGCACAACACTAGGATCAAGGGGAACCAAAGTCTCTTCTTCTTCTTCCCCGTTTTTCAAATCTCACCGGTCCCAGACGGGGGTTCCGGAGCTGTCACGGCCGAGCCCGGCGCCGTCCCATTGCCGCCGCTCCCGCTCCCGCTCCTGCTCCCGCCGCCGCCGCCGCCGCACGTGGAAAACCCAAGAGGACTTGGCACTTGTTGCCGTGACCCGGGCGCCAATTGTTGAGGGTGGCGCAGCATCAGCGGCATGCGTAACGCCGCCAGCGCTCCGGGCTGCATGGGGTTCAGCAGCAGTGGATGGAGCAAGGCGTCATTAGTCATGGACAATCTCGGAGGCCCTGGCATGGCGACGCCCGTCAGAGTCCTCCGACTGGAACCCGACGGCCTGAGCTGCTCCAGGGAACCCGAACGCTGCCCGGAAAGCGTTCGGAACAACAGCGGCTGTTGAGGTGCCGCCGGCGGCAGCGGCGTCGACTTTCGGCTTCCCTGCCGCCCGCCGCCGCCGCCGCCACCGCCACCGCCGCCGGCGGTGGCGGTGCCAACCTCGCCTGGCGCCGCTGGGGTCGGCAACCCGCGTGCAGGAGATTGTTGCTGTGGCGTCGCCGCCGCCACCGACGGATGGTGCTGTTGCTGCTGCTGCTGCTGCTGCTCGTTGCTGACTCCCCCGGAGTCAGCGCGGGCGGATATAGACAGGCCTTCGCGGCTGCTTTCGCGGGAAAGCTTTCGGAGGGTGAACAAGCTGGCCAGACCGCTGGGCCCCGGACTCGATGGAGTGTGGGTTTGGCGGCGAAGGGAGCTCTCCCGGGAGTGAGCCTCCGAGGCGGCGGCGCGACGCTGTAGCACCGCCACGCGGGCGTTACTTGCTGCAGCCGCAGTGGCGGCGGCGGGCAAGGAGCCGACGCGATTAAGGGTGCCAACGCCGCCGCCGGGTCCACCAGCCCCCCTGTTGTTATCGTCGTCGTCGTGCGGTACGACAGGCAGCGGCGTCGGACCATCGCCGATGCTAATGCCCGTCGCTACGGTTCCTTGACCGCGCAGAATCTGCTGGTACTGGTGATGCGTGAACATTTGCTGCAGCCCGGACAACGGCGATGCCGTTGCTGCCGCCGGGCTGTGTACAGCTAGCCCCCCGTTTAAACGGGACCAAATAACCCGACCCGTAAGGCCTGCGCCGGCGGCGCTGCTGCGGCCGCCGCCGACGCCATTGCTGACCGCAGCATGCAATGCCCCGGCGGTAGCGGCGGGTGGACCCGGGCTCCCAAAACCCGACACGGACGTTTCCGTACCCAGCAGGGGCCACATGTGGACCCGCGGCCCAAGGGTCAGTGGGACGTTCAAGCCGCGCCACCCGAGTGATAGCACTCGCTGCAGTCCAGCCATCATCGGCAAGGGGGCGCTGGCGCCGGAACTGCCAACGTGTTCAGGATCATCACCGCGACGGCTGCCCGGGCCGCCGCCGCCGCTGCCGCCGCCGCCGCTGCCATCGCCGCCGGCGCTGCCCGCGCTCGCGCGCGTGGTGGAGAGACGCAGCTGCAGCGGTAGCTGTGCCGACGCTTCTCTGTACGGCGAGTGCAACGGGGAGCCTCGCTCGTCGTCCGAGCCGAGCTCCAGTTGTCCCCGGCCTTGGCTGAAGCGTCCAGTGGTGACTGTGGCCGTGGCGGCGGCCACTGCCGCACGCTCCGCCGCCGCCGCCATCTCTGCCGCGCGCACGGCATGTTGACGTAGGAGTCCTCCTCCCGTACTGCTTGCACGACAAGCCTCCATCCTGCCGTCAGATTCATCGCCACCAGACGCCGCGCCTGCGCCGCCAGCGGCCTGTCGCCCTCGTGCCGTACCTGCGTTATACGACATGTTATTCTCATGCAGCGCCCGCGGGCTGCCCAATGTCCTGCGGGCCGACAACTGTGCCCCCAGGGAGCTGCCTCCAAAATTCCCAGCGGAACCGCCGCCGCCGCCGCTGGCCGCCGTCGTCGCAGTCGCTGACGCCGCCGCGGCGTCGCCGCTCTGGCCATCACCCATTCGCGCTAGGGGTGCACTTCGGAGCGGCCGAGAAGGGCTGGCGGAGTGATTCCTCATGATGCGAACAGACCGGACGGCAGGGAGGCCGCCGCGGGCAGCGGCGGCGCCTCCGGCTGCTGCTGCCGCTGCTGCTGCTGCCGCTACAGCTTCGCCGGGGCCGGCATAAGCCGGGGAGTAATTACCATCCTCTGTTCGGCATCACGGACGGAGGGAAAGACGGGAGGGCTGCTCAGAATTTCCACAGCAGCATCAACCCCGCAAAAGCGGTGATCCGCGGGGCCCGGGGTAGGGCCTTTACTAACCTCGTCCCCGCGTCTTCCTGCGAAATGTCGGCTGCAGATCTGTTGAGCTTACCTTTACCTTGATAACCTAGTCCCTATTGGCCTACATTTAACATATGTAATAAAATAATAAAATAATAATGTAATATTATATTATATAATATATATAATATATTATGATGTATTGTATCTTAATATATTATACTATAACAATGTAATACATAACCCCACTACGCTTCGCCGTACCCAAAAGTTTTTAACCCCCAAAGGAAGGGTTCTTTTCCTCTCCTTCCCCCCAGGAGGACCTCCCTTCGCCCCTCTCTTCTCCCTCCTCCTCGCAACGCGCAACTCGCCGCTCGCCACCACTGTCGGCAGCGGACCCCTCTCGCTGTGGGTACACTGCTTGTGTGATTCCCTCCTTACCCCGAGTACCCCTATATGCGTAGTACTATGTGCGTGTATTATGCAGGTAGGAGGGCAGGTGCAGCAGGTGATTCCGAGAGCCTCAGGTAGAGCAGAAGGGCTTTGATAGCTGGGTGTTTTTTTTTGGGGGGGGGGAGGGTTTATGTGGCCCCACTATCTTGGGGCGGCGGAGGAACGTTCCCCCCGACAACACGTGGCGCTTTACACACCACACACCACACACCTGGACGGTCCTCATCCCCACTCGGCTGCCCCGACGGCTCAACGCCGCTGCTGTGCTGAGGCGGTGGCGACAGCTGCGGCTGCGGCTGAGAATCGCTATTTCGCCGTAACGTAGCTACGGTGTTCAGCGGAGCGCCGTACCCGCTGCTGCCGGCGGCGCCGCCAAACGTACTTCCGTGGTACGACTGCACCTGCTGCTGGCTCTCCCGGCCCAGTAGTCCCAGCACGCCTCCGCCGAGCCCCGTCACCGAGCCGCGACGACCTGAGGGGCCGTGCAGCAGCAGTGGCGGCGGCGGCGGCGGCGGCAGCTGGCTGCCGACGGGTACGGGTACGGGCTGTACGAACGAACCCCCCCCTTGCTGGTCCCGCAGAAACTCCTGGTCATTGAGGGCCGAGTAATTGACTTTATTCCACCTGAGGGGTGGGTGGGTGGGTGGGTGGGGTGAAACCGCGTTGATGGTGGTGGCGGTGGGTGGGTTGGGGTGGGTTGGGGGGCGGGGGGGATGTTGAGGTGGGTGAGGGAAGTCCGTCCCGTGGGGCCCCCGTGGCAAAAACACGCACTGCCCCGGCACGTACGTACACACACGCCAGGACCCAGGACCCCTGATACACAGCAGGGGGGCTGTAATTGCATATGACCACATGTAATAATATGTAACAAAATGTAATATTATGTACTAATATATAATAACAAGTAATTAATGCCAAGCCAAGTAAAACAGCTGCCGGAGCTGTATCAGGGGGTAAAGGCAGGAGCAGAGGGGCACAGGAGCACAGGGCATAGGGGTACCGCGGCAGGGATACAGAGAGGCAGGAGGGGAAAGACGAACCACAAACGAGTGAAGCTGCTGCCAGGGCAAGAGTGTAGAAGACGTAGAACTGGAGGCAGGGGACTGTATGGCGAGGTCCACGGTCAAACAACTTCAGCAGAGAGAGAGAGAGAGAGAGCACCGCACCCCCTTGCCGAGTGGTAACTTAATCCTATTCCTACCTCCACTCCGCCCTCCACTACCAAGTGTTCCCAATAATCGCGTCAGTCATGTCGTCGCCCCCCCGCCGGTGGCCGCCTCACCATTCGCATCCCCCCCTCCCCCTAAACCCTAAGTAAAGAACTATGTGTGATTTGAACTATATGTTATAAAGGAACACATAGCTCCTTATGTATATAATGGCTTTATCATAGCCACGCCACCCACTTAGGCTCTAGCCCTCCACCATCTCCGCGTCCTCCTCGCCCACACACCCCTAAGCCACTTCGCCTGGACTATATCCGTGTATTAGCCCGGGTCTATCTGCTCCATGCGCGCCAGTGGTTCATCGTCGTACCCCCCCTAGCCACCTACCTCTGTAGCGTCCGAGGGCCCATCAGTACCTGACCGCCCTCCGCCAGGTCGCAAATCTCCCCCGCCATGTCGTACTCTAGGCCCCGGTAGTCCACGTGATCGGTCAGGTCGTGCAAGAAGATGTCATCAGGTACGCCTGGGGAAGAGGAACGTGTGGGTGGGAGGAAGGTTGAGCGCGTGTGTGTATGTGTATGTGTATGTGCGTGTGCGTGTGTATATGTATGTGTATGTGTTTGTATGTGTATGTGTATGTGTATGTGCGTATGTATGTGTGCCGCGGAGGGGAAACATCATAAGCGAGAAAGTGGTAAGTGCGGGGAAGTGGAAGACGAGCCACGAACGAGTGAAGGGGGGGAAGAAGGGGGAGATCATATGTGTATTTATTATTTTAAGCCCAGCCCAGTCGCTCACCCGTGTTTATGCCCATGCGGACCCGGAGGCCCGCTATGAGCACGGGCCCCTTCCCCCCCGCCTCGGGGTGGGGGGTGACGTCCCCCACCGACACGGCGCTGGTCCGCGGGTGCTCCGACAGCTCCTTGGGCCAGTCCACACACATGAGCTTCTCCTGAGCCTGAGGGGGAGTGACGGGGGAGTGACGGGGGAGTGAAGGGGGAGTGAAGGGGGAGTGACGGGGGAGAGGGGGAGTGACGGGGGAGTGACGGGGGAGTGAAGGGGGAGTGACGGGGGAGTGAAGGGGGAGAGGGGGAGAGGGGGAGTGAAGGGGGAGTGAAGGGGGAGTGAAGGGGGAGTGAAGGGGGAGTGAAGGGGGAGTGAAGGGGGAGTGACGGGGGAGTGAAGGGGGAGAGGGGGAGAGGGGGAGTGAAGGGGGAGTGACGGGGGAGTGAAGGGGGAGTGAAGGGGGAGTGAAGGGGGAGTGAAGGGGAGGGACAGCACAGCAGTATCAGTACCAGTACCCCGGTAACACCCGCGGGACAAAGGGCCTGGGCAGGGCTATCGGGGCGTCTAGGGAGGGACCTCAAGAGACACACACACACATACATACATACATACATACATACATACATACGCTCATGCACTCTCCCCACGTCTCCTCACCTTGAGACAGAACATGACGGCATCCACGGCGTCGTGGAAAGAAATCGTAAATGAATCCTGCACATGCACACGCACGCGCACACGCCAGGGGGGTTGGGGGAGGGGGGAGGAGGCTGTCCAAATGGCGCCATGTGAGGAGACACACACACACGCACACACAAGTCCCAGTCTACAGCTCCGACGCCGAGTTGCGTTGCGGATTGGCAAGGGCCCCGTCAGAGCCTCTTTCAGAATATCCCCTCCCCTCCCCTCCCCTCCCCTG